CATCATTCAGATTCTCTAGCAATTTGTGGGTACCCTTCATCTCATTCCGAAGGTCTCTTGCCGTCTTCCAACATTGTTTGTCCTCTGACCATAAATGTCTAACCTGCCAGACTCCATGTTCCACCCATGTTCCCCATTTTGAATTTCTTGCTGTCAGGGTACGTGGCTTCCCTTGGTGATCCTTAATCCAAGGATTGCAGAAAAGTGGTTGACGGAGAACCTCTTCTCTGTTCCTTGGTTCTCTTACTCTTGCTGGGAAAATGTCCCCCCAAAGCTTAAGGAGTTGTGCCCAATAAGAACCATCGCTCTTGTCAGTTGCTCCAGGTGTCCGTTCGCCTTCGCTCCTACCTTTCCTTGCCCAGCCTTTGCTCTTCACCCAAAACAGCCCTGACATGTTAGCCGGTGTTTTGTACTTAACCAGTCTTCTAATGCGAGAGAAGCCCAAGGAAGCCGGGGATGGGTAATAAGCTTCAAAACCCACTTTGTTTGTAACGCCTTCATCTGCTGGCTCGGGTCTAATATGCCCAATCCCACTTGCTCTTTTGGCTTGATTACATGTTTCCAGGCTACCTTAGATATGACATTCTGTTTACTTGGGTTTGTTGACCATAGGAAAGCTGCTGACCTTCTTCTTAAGTCACAAATAAACCGATCTGGTGGTGTCCAAATCGAGCCTACGTACCACAACATCGCAAAAATGGAGGCGTTTAGGATTAATGCTATTCCAAACAAGGAAGTATAAATTGCTTCCCAAGTACTTAGTTTCATCAGAATTTTGGCTAAAATCTCGGGAGCCATTAAATGGTGAGGTCTTGCTTCTGCAATTCCCAAATAACGTAGCGGTTCCTCCACTGCTGCCCACTGCATTCCTTCTGGGGTATTAACTGGTCTTTGCTCCTCTCCTTCTCCATAGTGCAACCACCATCCTATAGTCTTGGGCCAATTTATACTCATTTTGGAAGCCAGTTGGAAGGCAAGCATTGCTCGAGTGAGAGCCTCGAAAGATGAGCTAGAGGCACGAATAAGCACTGTCAGGTCGTCAGCAAAAAGGAGCGTCGTCGACAAGTGAACCAGTCTACCCTGTTGATCCAGTTCAGCTATCAACCGTTGGATGGAGGGATCCTTTCTGAGAAATGATGCTACTGCTTCCATTATGAACAAAAAGATGGGGGCTGCTAAGGGGTCCCCCTGTTTGGCCGATGTCGACATCCTATAGCTCTGCGACAGGTGACCGTTCACCTGAACCTGCGCGTGTGCATCATTGTATAAGACCCACATCCATTTCTTGAAATTAGGTCCGACCCCCATCTTTTCCATGCACTGCTGGAGGAAACACCAATTCACTTGGTCATATGCCTTCTCAAAGTCGAAGAACAGTATTGCCGCATTCATTCTTTTATCCGTAATGTAGCGAACTGATTCCGACAAAGTCATAACATTGTCTAGTATAAACCTGTCCGGGATAAAACCAGTCTGATCCAAATGAAAAGAACCCCTTGTAACCTTACTCAGTCTTTTAGCCAAAGCCTTCGCTACTATCTTGTGTGTGAGTGTCAGCAAGGTAATGGGCTTGTAATTCCTTATATCTAAAGGATCCCCTTTTTTGTACAATAATGTGACAATCCCTGTGGCCAGATCCTGGCCTAGCCCCTCTGCCTGCCAGGCCTTTTCCAGATATGCCATATATTCGCTCCCTAGGATTGGCCAATATTCAATCCAGAATTCTCTGGTCAATCGATCTTTCCCTAGGGTCTTATTGGGTGACATTGACTTGAGTGCTTCCCACAACTCTTCCTGAGTGATTGGGGCTTCTAGCATCATTGCCTTTGCACTTGGCACTAACCTTTCTAAGTGGGCTAAGAACTTCGATATAGCTCCTTGCACCTGCTGTTGCAAATGGTCCGACTCCCTAGAAGTATATAAAGTGCTATAGAATTGTTCAGCCACTGCCACCATCTCTTACGACTTTGATACCTGCCCTTCCGATGTTTGAAGTCATTCTATTACGGAGCTTCTGCCTTTTTATCGAATTTTCTGAAAGAAGTATTTAGTCATTCTTTCTCCTTCCTCCCATTCCTTGACTCTTGCCCTCATCTGTAGCCCCCTCGTCCTCCAACGTTCCCATGCTCCCAATTCCTCTCTTGCTGAATGTCATATTTTTTCATACAAGTCTGTACCTGGATTCTTAACTAGGTTACTATCTGCTATTCGCAATGCTTGCTGAAGCTCAGCTTCTCGTGCTTTCCTTTTAGTCGCTAGCTGCCTAGCCGCTGCCGCCGAAGCTCGACTCATAGCTTCCAGGAGTTCCGGGAAGGATTGATTACCCAAGTCATAGTTGAGGCAAGACTGCAAAATGGCCTGCCTCATTTCATGTGCTTGACGAATCAAATTATTTACCTTATAGAATCCTTTACCTCTCCGGGCTTGCTTATTTGTTGATAAATAGAGAAAAATAGGCCAATGGTCCAAACCGCTAAAATAAGGAAGGTCGCCTATACCCACTGAATGGATCATTCCTATGACCGTCTGTGAGATCAAGAAGTAGTCTATTCTCGATGCCGAAACATGTTGACTCATATTCCTCTTATAGTAGGTAAACTGCCTGTCCTCGGGATAGTACAAGTTGTATGGATCAATCAAATCAAAAGCAGTCATCATGTTATGAATTGGAAGTGCCTCTTCTCCTAAGGTGCTCTCACCCGTGCTATGTCCCCCTGACATTCTATCCCGGGCTGGTTCGAATGCCGCATTCCAATCCCCTGCTAATGTAATATGCCTGGTGGGTTTTATTAAACCACCAGTACACCCACACCTAAAAGCCCGAAGCTGCCTGCCCACTGCGCACCGTTATTCTCCGAGCCTTTTTGTATGGGTACCTGCAGTGGGAATATCGGAAGTGGCACCGGTCCCGGTTGTCTACCTGAAGGGGGAAATGAAAAAAAAAAAAAATGAAAAAACATGGCAGAGATCAATGATGTCGTGGAAGGAAGTCACGGAGGCCATACTCAAACGATCACTTCCCAGAATGCATCTGACTACTATTGCGGGGAGAGGGAAACATTGCTGTTTTTTCTTTTTTCTCCTTTTGTTTTTTTCTCCCTTTCCCTGTCAGCGAGGCACCGCATACTCCTCTTGCTCAAAACGCCTTGGCTGAGGGCATACTCACACTAGCCCCGTTGAAATGCATCCAACCACTTCCACGGCCAAAGCTTTGTTGTTGTTTTTTTTCTTTTTTCTTTTTTTGTGTGTCTGACAGTCGTGCTCCCCGTGTTCCTCGTTCTGCCAAAGTGCCCTTGCTGAGGGCAGTACTCCAAAAGGTGTATCCAACTGCAATCACGGCCAAAGGTTGTTTTCTTTTTTGGTTTTTTTTTTTTTTTGGTTTTTTTTTGTGATTCTGAGAGTCGTGCTCCCCATGTTCCTCGTTCTGCTGAAGTGCCCTCACTGAGGGCAGTACTCCAAAAAGTGTATCCATCTGCAATCACGGCCAAATCTTGTTTTGTTTTTTGGGACGTACGAATTTGACATGGGCCCAAAAATTTGAAAACCTTCTGACGCTCCGACCCTGCCCCGAGCCCGCCTTTTACTTCTTGTGGCGACAAGTTATTTTGCTGCAAGGTCGAGGCCGTGTACTGGTGGTTTAAAGTTTCCAATTCCTCTAAAAGTTGTATTCTTGGTTGGAATGTGTTGGGTCCATAGATAGATACGAGAGTGAAGCTCTCTTCCCGGAAAAGAAAGTTCAACTTCACCCATCTACCTTCCATGTAATCCACCCTCACTTCTTCTATCTTTAGATTCTTCGTTGAGAGGGCCCTCGTATTGTGAAGAATCGCCCCCCCCGCCGAATGTGGGCGTGGTGCCTGTGCCCAAAAGTCTGCTGCCACCCATCTCAATCTTTGTAAAATCCTAATCTTTACTTGCTCATGTTCTTCTGAAGTGGTCAAGTGAGGTCCTTGTAAACACACGAAGTCTAGCGGACTCTGGTCAAACCATCCTAAATACTAGACAAAGTTGTTCCACTTGTCCGGGTTGTCTAAAATCTGCACCAACTCGTTTATATTCCAGGAGACTATTATGAATTCAAGCTCCTTCCTTGACTGTGCCTGAACTTTTCTTCTACGCTTCCAGTGTTGGGCGCCTTCACTACCCTGCGTTATGAATTGTCATCCCCTGTTCGCCCTTCACTCATTGAGAAGTGTTCAAGACCTTGTCTCTGAAAGATCCAACCTTGTTGCTCCCCTTGCGATCCTCTTTTCAATGTATTCGGGCTTCCACGAAAAGGCATAAATTTTTTCCCACCAACGCTGCACTTCTGGCCACCCATTCTGCCGCCACCAATCCATAGGGAATGGTCTCCACCATCTGCCATGGGATCCATATGAGGCCATCACTTAATTTCGCCATTTCTTTCAGTACGAACATTATTGGCCTGTAATCTTCTGCCTGTACTGTGCCTGCTATATCTGTATTGTCCCCCTTTTCTTGCTTCCAATCACCTATCACATATGCGTGGGCTGGCAGATCTTCTGAGATCCTACCCTTCAGTGTCTGACCTGAGCAATTGGCTTCATCCATTGTGACCACCTCCAACGAGCGATGGATTGCCACCTCCCACTCTTTGTGGACTTCATTCCACTTGAAGGGGATGATTACCCTGCGTCTGAGTGAGTTTCTGGCATAAAGTATCGTCGCTGATTCAATTTCCTTATGTGGCGCATAAGCTATCGTTTCCAAATTCGTTGTATCTTCCCCCAACTCCCAATTTTGGTCTTTGAGGACATTAACCTGAGCCTCCAATATTGCTGCTTGTCTGCGTGCGTCCTCCATTAGCTCTTCATCTCCCATTTCGTCGTTTGTTGATGCAGAACCTGCCTTCTGCTTGCTCTCGGAGCTCTTCATTGCTTTTGGTAGGTAACTTTTTGGCCATTCAAACTGCTTACTGTAGACCTCATTTTGCACTTGAATGTCATTGTCGTGGTGTTCAGCTTTCCACCCATATTGCTTCGCATAAAACTCATTTATCTCCTTCTCCTTTTTAAATATCTCAAAGCGATTTGTGGTAGTGATGCCCTCCGTTGCTGCCGTGGCCTCCTTCAAATTACGCAAGTGTTTATGATGTGCCAGGCGAACCTCACATTCCACCGCCCTCTCTCACTCTAGCGCCTGCACACACTTAACCCATCTTTCTAATGTCTCAGGTTTTTCCTCCTGCTCATCCTCCGCATCCTCCCATCCATCCTCGCTTGAACTCTCCTCTGACTCCTCTCCCTCCTCTCCCTCCCCTCCTTCTCCTTCTCTTTTGAGTCTGATAGCGGAGCTGGCTGATTTCCCTTCGGAAAATTCCTTCTCGTTGTCTGTGCCCACCTCCTCTTGGCCTGTTGCTTCTTCCATTTCTTGCTCTTTTGATGGAGTCAGCCCACTATCCTCTTGCTGTGAAGTTTCCATTTGTTCCCCCAATGGGCTTAAAACCCCTGTCCCACCCTGTTTTGTCTCCATCTCATGATCCTGCCCCCCCGGTGTCTGTTGGGAATCCCTTGTGACCTTGAATCCTCTGGATTGAACCCCAGTTCCCTTGCTTACTATGTTCCGACTCACTTGACTCCTCTGCCCTAGCTTTCCTTTTGAGTGAGGTGGCCGTTCTGCTTTGTTTAGTTGATCCACCCTGTCCTTCCCCACATTCCCCTCCATCATTCTCGTTCTCCTGTTCATGGTTTTGTGTTTCACTTTGTGCTTCCTCCCTTGCTTTTGAGTTTTCCGGATATGTTGCCTCTGCTGTCCTCCCAATGTGATTGTGCTCTTCCATTGTTCTCAATCTTTGCTTAGTCATCCAACAACATGGTTTCGTCACTCATCGGCTTCATCAGATAGCCCATATCTTTATCCTCCATTCTTTTGGCTCCCTTTTGCCTCCATCTGCTATCATTCGGGGGATAGATATCAGGCTTTAATATCGGTGTCCCCTGTAGCACCCACACCCACCTGGGGGACTCCAAGTTATCGTCAAAAATCCATCCCCGGTACTGTGCTGCATTTATGTACCATATTCCCGCCTTGTTGTCTGATTCTTCCAACATTGATTGACGCAACTGAATTGGTTTACTCCCCGCCCCCGACTGTGGACAGTGCATGCCCAGGTGCCCCTTTTCACGACACTTAAAACAGAAGGGATTGGTCTTTGTTGAGATAAAAATTGTGATCCTTTGCCCATTTTTGCGGAAAATTCAAACCTCCGGAAACTGGGTGGTGCTCCTGAACTCACCTCTAGACAGGCCACCCTTGAATCATGATTAGGTGTCAGGAAGTCCGGATTTGCCGACAGCCAATCGATGATCGCATTGTTTTGGTATTCCTCCGACAATCTCTTCTGCACAAAACTATCCATACCCTCCGAGATATTATCAAATTGGACCCAAAAATGCTCCTTCATCATTTTCTGCCTGTGTTGAGAAGCTTCCGCTTGCGGGGGTCTTGGGGGTTTCCATGCCTGAATTGTAACAACCTTCCCTGGCATTTCAGTGACCCCAAAGATAGGAGATATTGAGCATAGGAGGGGTCTACTCATACAATCATCACAGTGAACTTCCCCCTCTTGATGATATGATACCTCTGGTTCTACCCCCGGAATACTCTCCAATCCTCTTAAACGTTCCATCACCCATCGTCTCTTCTCATTCAATGGCAGATCCCTGCTTTTACTTGCAAAATTAAACAGCGCTGCATGCCTCCCGTATAACTCATGCAACGAAGGAATGTCTTGCTCCGGATATTCCCACACATCCACTTCTTCTTCCTTACCATCCTGACTCTTATGAGTTTCCTTCGTGATCTTGATTGGCGGTGTTATTTTGGTTTTCTCAATCAAAAAGTCAATGACCCGCTGTCCTAGCGCCCTGGGTTGACTTGAATCCCTCCCCGAGATTGAGGTGCCTTGGGAGGCCATGCTCTCTCTTGCTTCCCGTGCTACTTTAGCAGCCATCCTCTTGTCTCCCTCTGTCATTCCGCTCTGAGTTGCTTGCACATAAGAGGACGCCATTGATCCTTGCACCATGATTCCCCTCTCCTTTACTTATTCTCCTCTCCGTGCTGACGTGTCCACCAAGCGCCGCTCTCGTTTCCCTTAGCCCCGATGGAAAACTGGTAACATTACTTTCCCGTCTTGTAGTAGTTTGGCTCCCTTTGCAAACCCCTTCCCTGATCCTGTTGTCGTTTTGCCTTTGGCACTTCTTTTCTTCGATTTTATCCTACCTACCTCCTTTTTGCCCTTTGCCCTCTATTGTTGCTACCGCCACTGCTCCACTACCTTCTTTCTTCTCTCTGTCCCCCGATGACTTGCTCATATCCTTACCTATTTTGCCCCCTGCTATGTCAACTTACTTTTCCACACTCCTTCCCCGATTCCTCTGACGCGCTCGTCTTCCCCCACTGACGTATCCTTCTCCACACTTTTTCCCACGACCCGCTGACGTGTCCGTCTCCGCACTACTCACGGCGCATACACACTCCTTCCCCGATTCCGCTGACGCAATCGTCTCCCCCTGCTGATGTGTCCTTCTCCACACTCTTTCCCTCGATCCGCTGATTTGTCCTTCTCCCCACTCCTTCCCACGACACGCTGACGTGCCCTTCTCCACCCTCCTGACTTTTCCTTCTCCGCACTCTTTCCCTCGACCCGTTGACTTGTCCTTCCCCCCACTCCGACCCTCTGACGTGTCCTTCTCCACCTTCCTTCCCACTACCCACTGATGTGTCTGTCCCCACCCTTCACCCGTGGACGCGAAGAGTCCTTACTCGGGTGCAAAACCTCCGTGCACGGGCGCAGAACCTCCGCACGTGGTCGCTGAAACAATCGCCCCTGCGACCAAAATTGCTCTTTCCCTCGACTCGATGACTTGTCTTTCTCCCCACTCCTTCCCACAACCCGTTGACGTGTCCTTCTCCACCCTCCTTCCCACTACCCTCCCCCTGCTGACTTGTCCTTCTCCAAACTCTTCCCCTCGATCCGCTGACATGTCCCTCTCCCCACCCCTTCCTACTACCTACTGCCGTGACTGCTGACGTGTCCTTCTCCACCCTCGTTCCAAAACTACGCGCTCGGCTTCAAATCCTCCTCGCACTGGCGTGGAATCTCCACGCGCAGTCGCTGAAGCAATTGCCCCCTGCGACCCCGCAACCAAAATTACTCTTTCCCTCGACCTGCTGACTTGTCTTTCTCCCCACTCCTTCCCACAACCCGCTGACGTGTCCTTCTCCACCCTCCTTCCCACGACCCTCCCTCTGCTGACTTGTTCTTCTCCAAACTCTTTCCCTCGATCCGTTGGCGTGTCCCTCTCCCCACTCCTTCCTACTACCTGTTGCCGTGACTGCTGACGTGTCCTTCTCCACCCTCCTTCCAAAACTCCACACTCGACTTCAAAACCTCCGCGCACAGGCGCAGAATCTCCGCGCGCGGGCACTGATGCAATCGCCCCGGCGACCAAAATTAGCACTCGGATGCGCGCTATCCCAGCGGCGCGTCACGGTCCCCGTGCATCGCCCTCTTTTCTATTGTGATCTGACAGCGTCTTTTCCCACAGCGTTGTCTTTCTGATCATTCCAAACCACATTTTTCCTGTCTTATGGAATTGAGCTGGGATGTTAGTCCATTGAAGGAGTTGGATGGGATGTTCAGGGAGGGGGACCGAGAAGAGGGAGTCCCAGAGATCCGAGGCTCTTGCCCAGTATTCCGCTGCCTCTTTACAGCGTATCAGGCAATGTAGCATATCTTCTGGTTCATTTTCTGAACATACCGTGCATAAATATGAACTGTTAAGGTCGTTCTTACTTCTTCTGATATGCAACCACTGGTTAACCGGAAGAGCTACATATGAGATGAGCCAATGGAGGCTTCTGATTTTGACCGGGCGGATTGACTTGAATTTCTTCCATGGTATTTGTGGGATGTTAGACGAGTTTTTTTCCGAGATAAAATATGAAATCCCGCAGCAACACAAAATGAGATATGGAGTAACTATATCTATGCTCTGCTCGAAAACGGCCGAGCAAACCAAAAGTTGAATTTCCATAAGCCTAAGATCTACAGCGCTGCCTTGAGTAAGAATAGGAATATTACGAAAAATAGACATTACACGGATGTCGGGGACGAGCCGATTCAGGTGTTTTCCCTCTTCGCTGACGGCCTGACGATAATGGTAGATGCAAATAAGCAGAAAATTCAATGTCTAATGGGCAGGTTCTGCAGGGCATCGGACATGGAAGTCGATTGGGGGAGTAAGATCCTAGTTTGTGCATTCATTCCCCACGAATGGATTGGAGCCTTGTCCCAAAAAAAGAAAAAAGAAAAAAAAGAAGTTTGGTGTTTTCATAAAAAGAAAAAAAAGAAGTTTGGTGTTTTCATTACAAGGAAAGGAGGCCCCTAGACGCACCCACCATCAGATGGCTCCCCTTGGAAGCCCAGGTGAGAGCCTTCGGGGGACCCACAACGAACGATGAATGGGTAAGCAGTACTAAGCACCAAGTTTGTTTGCATCCTTGTGGTGTAAATCAATACTATGGCCTCTGAATACTGATGCAGTGAAATCATTCAAGAAAAAAGTGGTGGCCTTCCTATGGGGCGGAGACAATGATAGCCCGAATCCTATCAGTCGTGTGGCCTGGGAGTAAGTGACACAACCAAAAATCAGAGGTTGACTAGGTATCGTCGATCCTCAGACTCAAACCCAGGCATTGAGCCTCCAATTGGTAAAGAAACTTTTCTTTCCAACACATAGCCCATGGAGGGAACTGTCTCAGGAATATTCATTCTCTCACCAGAGTTTCAAGCTTCAGCCGCCACTTCCAGAAATCTGGTTCTCGAGAGGGTGTGCCCTCTACCATTTATTTGTGACTGCCGCCCTTCATTTCCTGGCTTGGTCGGTTACCTTCCCTGCCCACTACGGCAACCTTATCATTATCAAGGGAAAAAATTGCTCGCCCGGCCCCCGAAGCGCCCTCCTCGAGACAGCTGCTAACATGGACTGAGAACCGGTATTGGACGATCCCTACGAAGGCACGGAGTACGGACCGAGTGAAGTCTGGACCCGAGGATGGAGACAACTTTATTTACAACTTCTGGTCTACCCTTATCAAGGCCTGGAGGAAGCTCCCGCTGCCACACCAGACCCCACCGGAGCGCTGGGAGGAAGTACTCAGGCATCCCTTATTTTTGGCAGCTGTTGGGTCACTGATATGCGGGGCCAAATAATGTGCAGCTTGTGATGCACTAACCTCACACCCCGCGCGCCGTTCCTTACCTCGAATGTCGATCGTAGTATCCTTGTTTTGGGCCGAGGGTTGCCTTCTGGGGCTCGAGCTGTCGTCGAGGGCAAGGGACGAAGAGAAAGATCATTCCGGAGCAACCATCAACAAAAACTAAAAAAAAAGAAACAAATGGAAAAAGGAAAAAAAAGACGAGGGAGCGGAGTTTTTCCGCTCCATGTTGTGCCTAATTCACGTGAACCTTGGGGCGGTCACTCCGGAATAGGGAATTTTCAGGCCTCGGTGTCAGATTCGTCGAGGCCGCACGAACATCCTAACGCGGGCTCGCCGAGTGTTGGGCTTCCGATGGAACCCAGGTTTGAAAGTTAGCCGGGAGCGCGCCCGCGTTGCGAGAGAGTTATGGGAATCGAGTCGCACCTTCGTATCCTAGGACCAGTCGTCGCTAGGAACATGAATCCCACTGGCGACACCAGCGGCAGCTAAACTGAGGCCGCCACGTGGCGTGGGCCACGGACCAGGGCAACACAGTTAGATCGGTGTAGGGCAATATCAGGGAAGGGGAAAAGAACCGATCTATCAACACAAACCCACTTCCTTCGATGTGGCAGGCCTTGGCGGGGTTATGCAGCTGAATCTGCTCGGTTCGTCGCAGAGCGCTCCGCACGCCCGCGTCACAGTACACGCTATCGTCGTCTGCGACGGGAAGGTCGGCAGCACGCTGCGATGGACCGATACGAAGGTTGAGCGCGGACAGGGACCCGTGCTCACGTCCACCGAGATGAACGCTGGCTCCATGCAAAGGTAAATAAACCCGCCTCCCTCTCTCTCTCTCTCTCTCTCTCTCTCTCTCTCTCTCTCTCTCTCTCTCT